TCAACGCGTCAGACGCGTTCTAATTATTCGCCACGCGTCCTGGGGTCCCGAAATGAATATCCCGACAAGGGCGCCAAAGCTCTCGGGGTTTGATGGGGAGAAGCGCTCGGGAACGCCGCGCGAAGCGGCGGCGGCTTGATGTGATTGTACGGAGGGCGTGACGTGCCCGTAAATCCACGCATCACGTGGCCGTAAATCCTGTAAATCGGCGTAAATCCACCGAAATAAACGCTTATGCTGCTTATGCCGCGCTTTCGAGCACTTATGCGGTAAAATGAGTGCTTTTCCGCTTGCAGGATGCCTCCCCGGCTCTTGGGGGCTAAACTGACGACATAGAACGATTTTTTGAGTACATTATCCGTAGTAACACGCATTTTGGTAATATACATCAACTTCTATCTACTGCAGGAGAGCAAAACACCCCCGGGGAGGTGCAGCCGCCGGGGAACGAGCGGGACAGGCGACGCGTCGACGCGTCGCGCGAGGCGTGGGAATACCCGGGAACCGCCGAGCCCCACCTGCCTAATAAGGCATGAAAAGCGTAAAGCCAGCGGAATAAGTAGTGCGAGAGTCGAGACGCACAGCACCGACGGTGGCAGCGAGCGGAAGCAATCCAACTGCAGCCACATCGCTGCCAGCAGAGCAGCTCGGCACCGCCCGAACGCGTCCGAGCCCAACCTGTCCGACACTCCCACCGCACGCAGACCCACTCTCCTTCATCCACCCCAACCTCCCGCGGCTCAACCCGATGGTGGCAGCCCATGCCTGACATGGCGAACTGCAAATACAAGGACGACAAGGAGCGCAAGGAGGCGAAGAACCGCCAGAACCAGGCGTGGTACCGGCGCAAGCGGTGCGTCGCGCGTCATGTTCGTTCGGGCTGGTGCTAATGGGCGGGGATAATAGGGCGAAGTTGCTGGAGAGGGCGTTCGAGTCTGGCGGGGATAGGAGCAGCAGCGGATCGCGCTCGCTCACGCCGGGCGGCGCGGAGGACGACGCGCCCAGGTATGTACGCCACACACGTCCCCACACCCCGCGAACGCCCCTCCTCACTTCCTCCCACAGCCGCGCCGCCCGCGCGCTCGACTCGCGCCTCCAATCCATCCGCGCGCGCTGCGCCGCGGCCGGGTACGACGAGCCCGTCTCCGCCTTCCTCGCGCGCTTCGAGGCGGCGCACGCCGCGCTCCGCGCCTCGTGCTGCACCGGCGCGGCCGACGTGGACGAGTGGCTCGCGGGCTACGAGCGCCAGCTGCGCGCGGGCAGCGCGCTGCTCGACGACGTGCAGGCGCTCGTGCGCGACGGCGCGGACGTGCGGGCCGCGTGGGCGGAGCTGATGGAGGTGTCGATGAAGGTGCATTGGTTGATGGCGGTGATTCAGGTCCGTTTGGATCTCGTCCGCCGCGCGGGGGCGGGCGGCGTGCTCGAGTGGGGCGCGTGTACTCCCTCTGGCCCGGCGCTGTGCTGACGGTTCGCTGCATCTCGATTCGACTCTCCACCTCCCCTTTCTACTCTACGTTCTTTGTCGTTGGTTCAGGATTTACGGACGCTGTCGCCCTGGTTTGTCTTCGTCTTTTTTCTCGCACACCCGTCGTCTTGCATATGTCGCCACACTTATTGTATACAGTACATATACCACCACTCGGATACTTATAATACGTCTATCTCCCGGGACACTTGTAATATACCTATAGGCTTATATCGAGGAGGGATGGACGACGGATACCTGCTCGTTGGACGCACACCAGTAATATAGTCGTCCACCACTCACTCGCTATGACTGCGCGGCCTCGGCGGTGATACCAAGTTATGAACTTGGTCATCACGGACTGGCAGGCGGTCTTCGCCTCGGATACAAGGGGGCAACGCGTGTCGGATGCCCCCACCTCACGCCCCTCGTCTTGGGAATTCGGCAGAGGCGCAGTGGCGCCGTCTCTATGCACGCGCCCAGGGCTGACTCGTCTGCGTCAGACAACACGAGGGGGGAGAATCTCGGAGACCCCGTCTGTGAATCCTTAGTAGGAGCACGGAGAGACGGCGAGGTCTAGCGAGTGGTGACGCATGCGCTGTCGTGTGTTAAGCCCAAGGCGCCCTGACGACTCGCGCGATCCCGCCGCGTCGCCGCCAAATCACCGACATTCCCTACCTACACCTCGTACTTATACGTACACATCTTCCCGAGCACGCTTGATCAGTCGCTCAGTTACGCGAACACCCAGTCGACCTCGACGCGCCCCGCGCCGAGGCTCGCGAGCGCGCTGAACGCGGCGGGCGAGAGGTCGATGCTGCCCGGCGCGCAGCTGGGGCGGAGGTCGACGACGGTGATGGCGCCGTTGACTGTGGGTCCACACGGGGTGAGGACAAGCCAGAAACGTGGGACAATAGTTGTAGAGAGGGCGGGCGGGGATGGGATAAGGGGAGCGAAAGGAGTGAGTGCGTGAAAGGCAGAGGGAAGGGCTGGGGAAGCGGACGCACAGTCGACAGTGTGCGCGCCGGCCGCGTAGTCGGACGGCGAGAGCGCGACGATGAGGTCGGCGGAGAGCGAGTTGGCGCCGCACGCGCCGAGGCCGGGCGTGAACCACGGCCCGGGTGAGATGAGATATACGCGAGACGAGCGAACGGAGAGGAGGGTCGGGAGCGAGGGAGACGTACCGTCGGACACCGCACCCGCGCTGAAACCGAGGCGAGGGTCGCGAAGGAAAGGGTTCTGGGGTTGAACGTGGAGGCCATTGCGAGAGCTAGTGGGTGTGGCAGTGAAAGCACGGGTGACCGACGCGGGATGAACGGCAGTGGACGGCAGCGGGACGGCGTCAATGTGGTATCCGACCGGGTATATTCAGCGTTTTTATGAGACGGGGCATGGTTCTAGGGGTGGTCGAGCAGGTACATGTCGTATTCAAAGATGTTGTTGTTGGTTGTCTATACCGAAGACATCAACCGTGATTGGAAGGACCAGCAGGTTTACAGAGGCCGGAACGGGACGTGATTGGAGGCGAGGAGACTCACGGATCAAGTAACACAGCAGTGCCATTCCGTCGACAACCGAGTCCGGACGCTCGCAGGTCAATGAGGAAGCTGGACGGCAAGCGGCCAAGCGTTGAGTCGAGGACCTGCACACAGAAATTACATCGCAGGCGTCCAGTTCCGGAGGCTAGACTGGATGACTTCCCGTAACGTTAAATCTTTATTTTCCCTAATTTCAAGGCGTTGTCAGCGAGGTGGTCACACTGAGTGATCGATTTTGATGGGATACAGTCATCACCCGGTCCTTTACACAACACCGGTCCTTTACACAGTGCCTTTTTGGGGGTGTTCACCCGTTGCTTTCCAGACAATTTGTACCTTGGTAGATTGAATACACCTATGCTGTATCTTTTCATGTCAATTTCGTTGCATTCTAGTGTGAATCTAAAAAAATAATAATCTTTCTTTTCCAAATTTCGCTCAACCTGAATATTGTAGCACCTATTACTCGACAACGACAGTACCGTTTTTAGTAGTTCAAGTTGCAGAAGATTCTGTACGCATATACAAATATTTTGATCCCTTACTCATGGCGAAACGTGCAGTTGTTCTATCGGTATGCTCGAATCATTGTCCAACGCAGTTGATGAGTCCGGCGAGTGGGCGTGATCAGCACAGCCACCCGCGCCACGCGTCTCGCTAACGCTGAGAAGCGCCTCGCAATATACGGGAGCGTCGGGAGAGTGATGGCGACCGAGCGAGGACGCGCTGCCCTCCTCGCAAGCCATCATATTCCCCGAGCTCCTTGCTGCTGCCTAGTCCCTCATGGTGGGAAGACCTCAGTCTCAGTCCCGAAAGGCTCAACTCGCGCGGGAGGAGCATGATCCCGTCATGGATCGTGCCATTGACAGCTATCGCGCGGAATTGGACAAGACAGACCCGGAGAAGAAGAAGAGTCTCCGCACTATTTGTGAGGAGACTTTACAGGTGTATTTTGAAGAGACTGGCCATACTGTGACACTCAATCACAAGACGCTCAGTAACCTGGTGAATGGCGGCTGGAGACTCGCCGAATTCAATGCCAGCAAGAGCTGGCTGACTCCGGCTGAAGTTGACCAAGTCATTGCATATGTTCAATAGGTTGCTGCCCGGGGGTTTCCACTCAGCCATCGACGACTTTGTGAGCATGTCAATGAGATCTGCCAGGCGAAATACGGTGACAGCTGGCGCCCCGAGGGTCTCGGAGATAACTGGACTCACCGTTTCGTGGAGAAGCATAGTGACTGGCTTGCAATGTATAAGCCCCATGCGCTTGATGCCTCCCGTGCCCGAGCTGTTAATCCCCATGCGACAGCCGAGTACTACCGACTTCTAGAGGAGCTTCAGACAACTGGCGATTATGGGTGGCCAATTCTCGATGAGAACACATATGGCGTTGATGAGTCAGGATTTCAGTCTGGTCTTGGGCAGTCAAATGAGCGTGCTATTGGTGGGAGAGGTAAAAAGGTTCAGCATGAACAACGAGATGGGAACCGGGAGAATGTTACAGTCATTGTCACTATTTGTGCTGATGGGTCCTCAGACAAGCCATCCCCAACTGTCATTTTCAAGGGGTCTTGCTTCCAGTCCAATTGGTGTCAGGATAACCCAACAAATGCATCATATGCTCCCTTCTATATGTATATTCCCCAGCATCAGTTTCTAATACAAATTTTATACAGACTTGGCTATTCAAAGAAGGGATGGACCAACGGGGAAATTGGTGTCCTGTGGATGGAGCTCTTTGATCGTGCTACTTGGCAGAAGGCCAACGGCTGAGCAACACTCCTCCTCGTTGATGGCCACAACTCCCACTATACAAGGGGGTTTCTTGAGTATGCTTGATGCCACAATATCCGTGTTCTTTGCCTACCTTCACACAGCACTCACTGCCTCCAGGGCCTCGATGTGGCATTCTTCAGTCTTTTGAAGGACTGCTGGAATGAAGAGCAGGCAAAGTGGGAGCGACAGAAAGGGAGGAAGGTCACTAAAGAAAACTTCCTCCTGGTCTACGGGAATGCTCACCTGCATGCCTTGACTCAAGAACTTGTCAGGACAGCTTTTTGCAAGACTGGTGTTGCCCCATTCAATCCCAAGGTCATCACCCCAGAGATGATGGCTCCAAGCCTGGAGACATCAACTCAGCCCATCTTACCCATTGCCCCTGCAACTCCCATTCACGCAGTCAGCAAACTGATCCGAGCAGCAACTGCTCCAGCCAAAGATGGTTCAGCTGGAGTCAACCAACCTGGCCTCACAATGACACCCATACGAGAAGCACTCACCAAACTTGAGGAGTCCTCAGCTCAGTTCCTCGTCACTTCATCTCCAGTCCGATCTGACCAGGAACTCCCTCAGCTCCCGATTTGCCCAGTCTCACCCATCAGACATCAGGGACACTCACCATATCAAGTCCTGCTGGATGCGGAGCCTCAAACAGAGCGAGAGCGGTTGCTTCAACTCGCTCTCCAAGCCAGTGAAGCACGTGCTGAAGCCCATAAGCAGCATGTGCTCAGTTTACAGGCAGCAGCTGTGCTGCACACTCAATACCTCTCCCGAGTACGGGCAGAACTCCAGGCCCAGAAAGAGAAGAAAGCTAAGGGGAAGGGGTTCAAGTTGATGGGTGATGGAATGCCGAAGGTACTCACTAACGATGACTTCATTGAGAAGGTGAAGGAACGGGACCGCCTGCTTGATGCCATAGCAGACGAGAAGGAGGCACGGAAACAGGCTCGGGATGAATATCAGCTGCAGATGGCAGAATGGAGAAATGAAGAGGACGCACGGAAGGCCAGAAACGACGCTAAGACGGCTGAGTATCGGAAGAGACTCGCCGAATACAAAGCCGAAAGTGAGAAGGCCAGACGGGAGAAGAGGAGGATTCAGCTCAAGAAACCTTCGCGGGGACCACTAGAGAAGGCTAAAGCAAAGCCCAAGCTTAACGCGCAGTCAAACGCACTAGCAGATGTCAGTGAGGGAGACGCCACCGGGAGCGAGGACGAGGACGATTAGCATCTGTCACACATACGTGACACAGCGTGACATTGCTGTGTAAAGGACTAGGGCGGGCGCAAAACAGCCTGCTTGTCGAAAATATTCCTACAGCAGTGAATACCCAACATCCTGCTGTAAAATTGGTAAAGTACATCTTAGTATACTTTAGAATGTATCTGTCACAAAAAGTTTTACAATTTCTACGCCAGTATACCACAATATCACCTTAAAAATTCACTGTGTAAAGGACCGGGTCATGACTGTAAATGATTTCATCGTCAAACCGCAACGATTTTTGCCGCCGCGAGCTGCAGGAAGGAAAAGAACCAAGTACCTGCCACATATGGTAATATTTATGAGGACGGAGTGTTAGCCGACGCTAAGCGAGGCTTTAGAGACGTCGAGCAGACTACAGAGGGGTCCTGACCCCTCCACAGAATGCAGGATTAAGGGATGCCTTTGCTTGACAACCTCCATCGACAAAACATTACCATGGAGAGCGTGACAATGCGGCAGCTCGGCACAATCACATCGGGCGAGGATTTTAGGGATTTACAACTGAAATTTAGGGATTTAACGTTACGGGAAGTCATCCACTATGTACAAAGCACACAGACAATGCCACCCGAGGACCCGGAAGATCGACTGAAGCAGGTGCGCGTCTACGTCGAGAAGGCACGCGCCCTTGCGACAGAATCAGCCGCCGTCCAGAGCCCTGGAGAGCATCAGCAGCGTACCTCGAGTAAAGGAAGGACGAGTGGCGGTCCTCGTGGGTCAGTTGAAGCTGGCTGGGAAGGCCTACGCAGTTCATTACGTCTCGAAGCTGTCATGCGGCGACCCATTATCCTTCCGCTGAAAACAAATCTCAGTCGGCGTGCCTCCTGCCGCGCCTCCCCTTTGTATCCCCGGTGCTCTTCCCTCTTTGTGCTTTGTTTGTCGCTATCTGCTCAGGTGTTACGCACGCTGTCGCCCGCTTTCGTCCGTGCACTCATCTATCTCGCATACGTTGCCCCTCCACACCTCACACTACCCATCATATACAGCACCACCACCGGGATACTTGTAATACAGGATGGTGTCGGTTCATCCGGATCTGCGTTCCGGGTCCTTTGGGAAGTGTAAGGATAGCTGGTCGCCGCTTAGAACCACAAAGGCGGCGAGGCGGCGGTGGATCTCTAGCTCTGATGTTATTCTGCAGGGACAGGAGGGCGTCTGGATGTAGAATCTCCGTAGTCAGTACAGTTAGCTTGTATCACACACACACCAATAAACGGAACCTCGTCTTATTGCGAGAGATACAAGATAGGTAATTGAGCTAAGCAGATTCAGAGGTAGTTGTTGTCTAACGATCCGCCTGCCCAATCCGACCATCTATCACTCAGTAACCAAACATGTCCAAACTCGGCGCCACTCGGTGGCGCCCACCTTACACCCTCCCCACTTAGAGCGAGACATTGTCTCCGATGACAATGGGGAGCGATATAATGGTATTATCTTTGTATGGAAATAGATTATAATATGGTCCGAGACTCAATGGTCATTTACATCGCGACTCGGGGTAGCGTCCATAGCGATGATCATCATACAATGCGATTTGGATATGCGGCGGGAGGAGTGGTCATATTACATAGTGATGCCGCGGAGTCATAACAATTCGATAGTGCGATATAAAAATTGTTAAAGTCCAAATAATAGCACGGACGCAAGACGGCGGCGACGACAGCGACGAGGGGGGGGCACGCAGCGTCCGTACTCCCCACTAGTCGGCAAAAGGGTCCGGTGTCGGTGCACCCTTGACTCCACGCAACTCCGCGAGCTCAATGGCAGCCTCGTAGTGTCTCCCTTGGGTCCATATGCCACAGCCGGCGAGGTACTTGATGATTTGCTCCTCGTCGGTGGGGTTGCCCTCGAAGTCGGGCGATGATCTAGCCGGGGCCTTCTCGACCTTGCCCTCATTGATGGCGGCCTTGTACCGTCCCGACGCAATGATGTGCAAGGTCGCATTAATGAACACGTCCGTGTCCTCGAGCTTCCCTCCGGCACGCTGCAAATAATGCCACCAACGTGCGCGCGATGCAATGGTGTCGGTCTGGCCCTTCTGGAACCCTTGGGGCGCCATCTCCGGCCGTTTTTTGACGGGCTCGACAAAGGCGGCAGTGGTAGGGGCCTCGTAGAATGAGCTCGGCATGATCGTGACGGCCTGGTCACTCACTGCAGCCGCTATAGCTGGCTGGTCAGCGGTTGAGGCCGGCGGCGCAGAGGGCATGGTCTTTGCGCCCTCGGTGGTAGCGGTGCTCGGGCTTGTTGAATCCCCCGTCGGGCTCACGAAACCTCTTCCCTCCTGAGTTCCTGCGGGGCCGCTATTTGAGTCGTGTCCCTCCTCGCAGCACTGAATATCTTGGTGCTGGGTATTGTACTGATAGCGGCGCCGGCATAGGTGGATCGAGTGACGAGCCTCTTCGAGGTCGCCGTGCGTGTTTTCAAGCGTGACGAACTGAATATAATTGGTCTCCTCGAGCTGAGCGATGCGCTGATGGCAAGCCTCCAAGGTAGTCGGGAGGTTGGCGCCTCGTTTGACGATAGCGGCGGGCATAGGGTTACGGCGATACATGACAGCAAGATGTTGAGTAGCAAGCAGAAGGTCGGTGTTCGAGTTCAAGTGACTTTGAACTCCGCTTTGTATCCCGCCACGCTATTGTTCGTGCACTGGCGGGAGTTGCCGAGTAGCGCTGACGAGTAGGCGCTCATTAGTCAGCGACGTGCGTGCCTTTCGCCGGCGCCTTTCCGGGGTAACTCCTCGGGCCGTTTGACGCCTTGTAGCTCCAAATAATGATCTAGTGCCTCGAGTTCATTGCAAGAGGATAATGGCTCCCATGTAGCCTCTCCTATTTGCCATCGTACAAGTAGCTGTAGCGCATTTTTATTCCATCGATGAGCCATAATTTCCTCGACGAGCCATTCAACGTCTTTCGGCTCTCTGAAGTCATATGCAGTGTAGGATTCACGATGAGGGAATAGATTATCGACGTTCCCTTCATGTCGTCTAAGCCTGCTCACATGAAACGTAGGGTGAATACGTCTCTTCGCCAGTTCGGGCGGTAATTTAAGTTTGTAGGTAGATTCAGCGGGGTCGCTCTCCTCAACTTCATAAGGACCAATGAATCGGGGCATCAACTTCCGAGCCCGACCCTTAGGTAAATTAAGATTCTCCGTGGACAAATACACTAGATCACCTGGGGTAATTGCCTCATCAGGTCGATGTCATTGATTGGCGTAATGAGATTGAATAACACGACTCTCAATGATTGCATCGTGCGCATGCGCTAAGTTCAACAGTGCGCGTTTGGCGGATTGTCGAACGCCTGGCATGACTGGCTCAGGGTCCAATGTGGTGGCAATACGCGGCATAGTTCCATAGTTCAATTCAAATGGGGCGTATCCCATGCTCTTGCTGATACTAGAATTGATTGCGAATTCAACCATGGGGATTTTCTCAACCCAGTCGGTTTGGCTCGCATTAACTAACGCGCGTAAGATCTGGGACACCGTTCGTATAGATCGTTCGGAAGCTCCGTCGGTTTGAGGGTGGAATGCCGTAGACATTAATAACCCAGTGCCTAGGAGCTTATGCATATCCCGCCAGAACTTCGCCGTGAATTTAGAGTTGCGATCTGATACGATAGTATCAGGCATCCCATGAAGCCGAACTATGCGGTCATAATATAGCCAAGCTACGTCCGATGCTTTGGCAGTGGTCCTCATAGGAATCAGATGTATCATGGATGTTAGTCGGCATATCACGACCCATAGGTAATCATATCCTTCAACCGGCGGGAAAGGTCCAACGAAGTCCATACCGATTGATCCCCATGGGTGAGTAGGTATCGGCATTGAATGTAGTAGTCCCATGGGTCACTTAGGTGAGTCCTTTGTGGTCTGACAAGTACCACACAATGCACAGTATTGTTCCACTTGGTCTCCCATCTTGGGCCACCAGTACCAACGACGTACGTATGCGAATGTTCGAGCAGCTAAGTGTCCGATTGTCTTATGACATTGGTCTAACACGATTTCATTGATATGACGCTTCTCAAATTTGACGCGAGGGATACATAGCGCGAACGTAGAGTCGGGCAGTTTGCGCCATATGTACCCGTTCTTGAATACAAATGCCTTTTGGGCAGTATTCTTATTCAATTTCGAGAAGATTTCATCCTCAGCGTATCCATTTGAAATAGCTGTCATTATGCGACGATCACCTTTGATTACCTCGTGAGGTGATTTACGACTCGCTATTGAGTTGGCGATAGTAGGGTCGTCATCGTCGTCATTGGTGCGTGCATCATCAGAAGGTACCTTAGATTCCTTAGGCGGCTTGACCTTAGTGACTACAGATTGAGCCATCTCCTCAGCTTCCTTGCTTTGAGATTCCTGAGTCACTAAGTCTCTAAGACGCTGTGATCGCCTCGGCAATGGGGCTCCTGTTAACTCAGGACCAACAGTGGCAGCTCTAAGTTCTTCAAGCCGAATGGGAGGCAAATCTTCTCCATTCGGATCAAGACGCCTGTCTGCAGCAACATATTCATCCTCAGGTTGCAAATCATTGACATTATCGCTTTCGTAGTAACGCGAAAAGCAGTCAGCCACTTTGTTTGATTTGCCCTTAACATAATGGATAGTGTAGTCGAATCGACTTAAGTACTCCATCCATCTAGTCTGTCGATGAGATAGTCGCTTCTGAGACTTGAAGAATTCAAGGGCTTTGTGATCAGTCACTATGGTTATAGGGCGACCAATCAATTGTCTTCCCATTTCAATAGAGCTTCCAATATAGCAATGGTCTCATGTTCGAATGTCCGATATGCCTGTTGTGCCGAAGTGAACTTCTTTGACATAAATCCAGCAGGGTGACACGTCCGCCAGTCCGGTCTCTGACCATATACGGCTCCAATGCCTGATACCGATGCATCACATATAACCCATATAGGCTCATTGACTTTAACATCAATAGGTTTAAGGATCGGGGCCTTGCAAGCCATTGCTTTGATCGACTCGAAACATTTATCATGCATTGGTTGCCAAGAAAATGAGCGATTATCTCGACACATGCTTGCAAGCGGCCCAGTATAGGCTGTCACATCAGGCATAAAGTGTGCGAGGTACTGCACAAGGCCTAGGAACCGCTGTACTTCATTGAAGTTACGAGGCGTTCTCCATTCACATATGCGCGCCATCTTGTCTGAGTCCACATGAAGTCCACGATCATCAATTACATGACCAAGACAGTCCATTCGCTTCGAATAGAGGTTGCACTTAGTTTTACTCAAATACAATTGATACTGCCTGAGATGATCGAATACCATTCCTAAGTGTTTTTCATGATCCTCAATAGAGTCCGAAAATACGAAGATATCGTCCAGGTACAAGTCCAGGTACAAACACTCCAATGAGTTCACAGAATATGAACGTCATAAGTCGTTGGAATGTAGCCGGCGCGTTTGTATCGCCTTGCTGCATAACGTAGCTGAGAAAAGTACTGTAGATAGTGGCGAATGCCGTTTTCCATACGTCCTTTGGCTCGACTCGGATTTGTTCGTAAGCGTCCGACATGTCAATTTTCGAGCGGAATTTAGCCTTCGCAACGTCCATACGAATCTGATCTTGGTCTGGAAATGGTGTTATGTCATGCAGAGTGTTGTCGTTACGCTGTCTGCAATTCACCACTGTCCTCAAACGACCATCTTTCTTTGGAATGCATAGAAGAGGAGCAGCTTGGCTGACTG